AATATGATTGTGTGACAAAAGCTAAAATTTTCAGAGGATAATATTCTTTTGAACTATATACATAGTACATGGACTTGACAACCAGACAATGTAAATGGATTCTCCATGCTCTTACTATGACCAAAAGACTGATATTGCAGCATTGGAAAGATAAATGTATGGCCCCATTTATTCATTGGTTGAAGACCTGACTGCACTTGTCCTTATGAGCAGATTGCCTATAGACACAGACTTTGTGTGGACAAGTATAATGAAATATGGGACTCATCCATACAAAATACGGTAGGATAAAAAAAAACACGATGGTCATATGAATGTATTAGAAACATATACATACTTGAATAATATTTGCATTATATATAGAATTGTAGTCGTTTACAGTTATAATGACATATTAACATGTTTTTTCTTTGTTGTTTTTTTCACTTTTTTGTTAAAACACTTTTTATGTGCTTTTTTTTTTTCTTCTCTTTTTAACAATGTATCTCCATCATTATTATCTTTGTGGTTTGGTCTTTTGTTTCTTTTTTTGTTATTAATTAAATAAATATTGAAAAAAAGGATCCTCCATCACAGGTCAGGTCCTGCTCTGCAGTCTCCTCAATGATCTTTTTGATGGCTGTAGTTTTGCATGATTTATGCAAAGCTCATATACTTGGTCATAGTCTTCTATGTTGCAATGTAGCATTGCAGTTAAATATCAGAGCTGTGAAGGAATACATTTGGGAAAAGTGTGTCATTTTCTGACTTCATGTAATAGGGTATCTGCCCCTACCTGCTATTCAACCGTGGATGTGATGCACAGAGAGTACAAGAACAAGAGCAGTTGCTGTGGTTCTTCAAGTGGTCACTCTATACTTATACAACCTTGCCTCAATCCCAACAGATGCCTCCATTCTGAGGTATTCTCAGAGATTGCTGAGGCAGCCTTGGGAAGTGTGGGACAATTGGACAAGTAGGAATTTTGCCCATAAACATGTGTACTAACAGTGTGCTTCTTGCCAAAAAGTCCTCCTTGGCTCTTAAAAGTTCTGATGTGGCTCTGGTGTAGACCATCACCCATATGTGCAGCTTAGCATGATATGTGAATCCATCCAATATAATAAACTTTTAAAAAATCTATTTTTCCCAGACTATTATGAATCAAAATTATAAGTTCGGCAGTGTTCAGGTAGAACTTGTAAAGGGGTTCATTGTCAGCCAGTCCTTCCTGTTCACTGTTTTTTCCTGAGCAAACTTAGGTATGGACAGAATGGAAGCTTGCTAGAACCAAATTATGATTCTATCAACATGTCATGTACTCTAAAATTACCTTGTACTGTTTTGGTTTCTTTTGCAGATCCAATACTTTTTCAGTATCTTAGACAACTAACAGAACATTGTGGAGCAAAACTGCTTAGAAAGAACAAACTGCAGAATGGGAAATGTATGTTTATCCATTTATTGTCCAGTGTTTAACCTGAATGAAATACAAGGCCAACAAGAGCACTGAACTTCTGGCTATTACATATATTAGAACATAGAGTTTTGCACTTTAGACAACATTTAACACCAATTGATGGGGTAACTGCATTGCTTCTCAAAGTTCAAAATAAAGATTTATTTTCAGACATGTGGCTTTGGTTTATTTTTATACATTACACCTTTTTCTTGCAGAAAAAAAATTGTACAACTGCATAAATATAAAATTCTTCCACCATGAAAATGGTTAAAACATTCAATAAAGACAGCACCACAGCATGTGATGCTTCTCACAGGAAAAGAAGAAAATATACAAAGCAAAATAATTATTTCTATCACTGATGAGAGTAGTAGGCTGACATAGGTCTCTCACACAATCTCAAAACATAGTAGAATGAAGGGAAAAGAAAAAGACACCAATTGCTACAAAGCACAGTACGTGATCACCTACTCTCCATAGCTTTGTTTCAAAGTTAAAGTAATTTTTCCCTGCCACCACACTAAGTTTAGTAGACTACTGAGGGATGGGGGTTGGGGTAGGCTTCATGGAGTGCTATTGAATAATCACAGATGGGCCTTTACCTTTTGAAAACAAAATGAAAAAACTAAAAAGTACTGTGCCAGTTTTAATCCCACTGAGTATTTACACCTTGTACAGCAAATCTGTGCTCACGGAAAGTAGAAAACAGGTACAATAATACATGGCTTGAAAAATGACCAGAGTAATGCACCTAAAGTACTGTACACTAAATAAAATTCACATGGCAGCAATACTTAGGGGGCAGAAACACTGCTTACTACAAGTCAGTTATGGAATCATAATTTACAGTAGAAATGGGCATGTCCCAAGGCTCAATTAATTCTGTTTTTCATCATTTACAGTAGAATAAATATCTTTGTCACTATTGCTACACTTTTAGGTTTACATTCTAATCTATTTAAATGCAGAAAGCTAGTGTAAAGCATATAGGTTATGTGTAGGTCCCATATGTATGAGTTTTGTTCAAGACTAGTAGTTTTTTGTCTCTCTTTATACTTTTTAAATGGCTAAGAGGAAAAAAGAAGAACCAAACTCTGCTTGTGATCAGCTGCTTTTTATCTCAATTTTCATATCAAAACGTCCCTGGAAACGATCTTTGTCACTGTAGCCAATATTTTGACCATAGGCCTTGCACTCGATACGCAGCTCCATATCAGTAGTCAGGTTGGTGAATTGTACTGCTACAAGGGGTTGAAGGTATTCCTTCTGAACAATCCTGCCATAATATGGGTAGTATTGTAGAGGAAAGCCACCAAAACCACCAAAGCCGTAGTATTCCACAGGGCCAATTTTGTTAATTTCATCTGTTTTCTGAAGAAACATAGGAAGCATACTTTAAAAAAAACAACATTCTTGTCCTGTATGCCACCTTGAATTGTTTTCTATTATAGTGAACATCAAAAAGTTACTCCAGTTATGCATCTTTCCAATATTCTTTAGTGAGTTCAGACAATGAAAATAGTCATGTCTCCATCAACTGTAATTGCCTTAGATTATGGTTATATAAGTATCAAATAGCTAAAAATTTTACATCCTTATCACACGTTGCAATAATGTGAGTGATGCAAAAAGGTGAAAAACATCTCCTCTCCCTCCCTTCTTCAAACCCCACATACCAAATTGAATGCCTGCCTGCAATCAACATATGGAGAACTTTTTGTGCCATTAGAGTCCCTGTTGTTCCAGATTTTTTAGACTAACGAGCATAAATCCAGAACCACAGTCAGTGTAGAACTTAATACAGCAACTTCCCACTGCAACATAGCTTGTCTCCTGTAAGACCATTAAACCTAGAATGTATATTCATAAAATATAACATTAGTTTTTGATTGTGCAGATACAGCCCTATCAACATATATTCCCTAGCCACCCACAATCTGATTCCTTCTAGAATTGTTGGACTTGAACTCCAAGGGGCAAATCTAGCTAGGAAATGAAATTCAAAGTATCTGAAGGAAGGGACAGTTTATGCAGAAACTGAATTGAACACTCTGGCTATCCATAGAACCAGAAGTAAGAGCCTGCTCCTTCTCCATTCAGTGAATGTGAATTTGTTATTAGAATGTAGCTTAATTTCAAAAGGAATTTGAAGAACTATGCAGAATTTCAAAATCTAGCAGTCATTAACTAAATGAAATTTCCAGCTTAACAGGCAACATGTTTCTAAAAACCATGTTCTAGGATAAACAATGGGGGAGGGCTGTTGCTTTTACTCCCATCTGTAACTTTCAACTTCAAAAGTGTTCAAAACATTCTGCACACTGCTACTAAAACAGATGAACCTGTAATGTAAGCATAAGAAGAAACTGCTAGATAGATCAAAGCCTTAGCCATCATTCTGCTTCCCAGTGGCTAGTCATAAGCTTATAGGAAACCCACAAGTACATCATGCTGGCAACAGCTGTCTCTTGCTATTGTTCCCTAGAGTTTTCATTGGCAAGGTAAAATCTAATGCTGGAAGTTGTAGATAACCATTCTGATAGTAGCCACTGATAGTTCTATTTTTCATTAATGTAAAGCTTTTTAATTTAGATTTGTCACAGAGACACTGATGGCCAGTGATGGAGCTTCAGTTGGGTTAGCATTCTAACCTTACAAAAGGAATTCATAACTAATAAGGCTGAGTTCTTTGGTTTCACTCTCCAAAAGGAGTTTTGGAGCACAAAGAAGCAAAAATCTGGCACCTGTTTGCAACATCTTAAAGCAGTTGTGCCTTCTCCCAAGGTAGCACAGCTCTTTTAAGATATTGTAGAGAGGTATTACTTTTGCTCTCCTATGTATTTTGAAAGATCTTTTTGGGATCAAACCTGAGCATTGCAAGTCCCTGATAAATAGTATTCACAAAAAGATCATGCTTTTTGGTAGATGTTTCCATGGTTGCCTTGTGAATTCTCTAGGCCACCCAACAGTCTGTAATCTCCTCCTTTCACCACTTTTCTCCATTCTTTTCTGCATGTTGGAGATTGTCAGACTGTTTAATCATTTCTTTTTGAGTCTTTTTGGTCATGGGAGTGAAGAAGTGATATATCTTGGTTTAAAAGTTGTTGCCACTTCTAATACCATTCCTCTATTTAGGAAAACAAATTAAAATTTTCTCCATAGATTCTTCTTGAAGAAAAACAATGCCTTTTTTTATTTTGGTGCAAAGTGACATTACTTTGTAACTCCAAAAGCAAACAACAGAAGATAGTCAGTTGAGAGTTACCCTTATGCAGAATGAAGAGGAGAGCCCTCAAATATTTCTGCACAGCAACTTCCATTCATTTCAGTAGGATTTGAGTAGAGATTATTTTTCCAATTTGCAATTCCTCTCTGGTGTGCACCAAAAGCCTTTATGGAGGATTTTACTTTTATTTTATGCTAGTTCTTTTACCAGGATAACTTTGCATTAAACCAAGATGCAGTCAATCAATAAAGACGATATCATCTTTAAATAAGATTGCATCAACCAAACTATTAAAAGGCTGAGATAAAGAAGATATCCAGTTTCAGAAAGGTAGCAAAATAGATGTCATACAAGTAGTCCTCGCTTAACGACCTAAATTGGGACCAGAATGTCTGTCACTAAGCAAAGCAGTTTTTAGGTGAAACATCACGTGACCACACCGCTTAGTGATGGCCATTCCAGTAGTCCAGATTGTGGTCATTAGGTGAGGACCTCACTGTCATTAGGTAACCTTGCTTCAACTCCCCCCACCCACCTATCCCCTCCCCAGCTCTGTCCTTTTGGCCACCCTGCACTCCGCCACTGCCTCCTACCCCTGCTGCCCCCCACCACCCCCAACTGACCTTCACCATCTTCTTCCTCCCACTGCTGACAAGGTGCACTGACAAGGCAGTGGGAGGAAGAAGATGGAGAAGGTCAACTGGGGGCAGTAGGGGTAGGCAGTGGTGGTAGAGTGCAAGGCAGCCAAAAGGACAGAGAAGTGGGGAAGATAGGTGGGTGGGTGTGTTGAAGCGCACACTGCGGTTGTAAATGCAGGCAGGCTGCCAAGCCCCCAAAATTTGATCATGTGACTTCAGGGGCACTACAACGGCCATAACTTCAAGGACCAGTTGTTACTACCATTTGTTCAGCGCTGTTATAACTTCAAATGGTTGTTGAATGAATGGTTGTTAAGCAAGGACTACCTGTATACCTTCCTAGAGACAATATTTCTCGTATCTGATGCCACTACAGAAAATGTCTTTTTATGGCTTCTGTGCCTTAGATGATGCATGCATCCAGAGGAGAACCTCCTAGAACCAGTCAACATGGTAGCCTCCAGTTGTGTTGGATTGCAGCTCTTATATGACAATTACCATAATGCCTACGAAGGTGAAATGTGAAGTTCTTTCTTACCTCAGTTCCAACTCAAAAAGGGTTCCAAAGTTAAGAATACGTACATGACATGGGCTAAGGCACAAGTCAGGAGCTATCACAGTCTTTTAAGCACTAATAGCAGATGGGATCCCAATGCCTGATCCTAGCTAGTAGTAGTATATTGAACTAACAGTTCCAAGACAGTCTTTAAGACAGATCCTACAGACAACACATTCGAGTAACAGGATTAATTGTTTTACCTTAGCAGTGCAATAAATGGGAATGACATTCTGATTATATTTTGCCTTCAGCTCAGGTGGGAGGGAGTCATTTAGTGGAAGCTGAGGAAAGAAACACATTTCAAAAAGATTTCAACAAACTTCCAAACTGCTGCTAATAAATAACTCCTATTTCCAATATGTTTGTTTCCCATATATTATATTCTCTAATAGCAGTTGGTTAACTAACTGCCTATCAGTTTGGAAGTGAAGCAGAGCAGCCTTGAAAAGGAAAGAAAAGAAAAGAAAAAAAGAATATCTATATGAGGCTGAAGAAAGAAAGGTATATAGGGATAGGTGTGTCTGTGTGTATATACATATATTTTACAAATGAATATATCACACATACACACATGTGATCTGTGAAGGCAAGAAAAAAAATATTAGTGTAATTCATTAATGAAATTGTGAACTTACATTCAGCAAAACTACAACTTCTGCATTTGCTGCTCCCTAATCACTGCTATTTTGTGGACAAACCTGATGTTCTCTGTTGTTCTGTGTGGGCAGCTCTCACTTCTATCTGAGAGAAGTTGCGTAGGGAGCTAAGAGGGCATTTGAAGAAATCAGAAATCAAGTGTTCAAGACTAAGGGTGGTTTTAGCTGAAAGGCTCCCAGCAGTTGGGCAGCGTTGGTCTTCAGGGTTTAATGACCATGGTCTAGACAACAGATTTCCTAATGTTTCACCAGTAACTGTCATCTGCTACATAGACCACCTTGCCTCTGAAGACACCAGCCACAGTTGCCAGCGAAACATTAGGAAATCTGTTGTCTAAACCACAGTCACTAAACCTTGAAGCCCAGTATTGCCCAACAAATACTAGCTGTGAAAGCCAAGACGAGTATATTTTACAGTTACACCCCTTCCTCAGTCAGGAGGCCCTCTGCACAGTCACTCATGCCCTGGTCACCTCCTGGTTGGATTACAGTAACACACTCTACATGGGGCTACCCTCGAAGAGTATCCAGAAGCTACAGCTGGTGCAGAATGTGGTGGCACAGACAATTCTGAATGCCCCTAGGAGGGCACATATAACACCGCTGTTACGCGAGCTGCATTGGTTGCCAGTCTGCTTCTGGGTCCAATTCAAGGTATTGGTCATCA